ACTGAACTGATTTTAATGAAATTTGGTACAGAGATAGAGTTGACCTTAAGAAAGAATAAAGGATAGTTTTTATCCCAGACTTTTGAAAAGTTCTCTTGGAAACGCGATATAACCGAACTCCACGCGGGCGAAGCTGCAGGCGGGAAGCTAGTCACTTGTAAATTTTGTATATTCGATTAGGAAAAAATAAATAAATTAGTTGATTTAAATGGAACTTAATATTTTTAGCAAAATAAAATGTATAGTTACCAAGGCTACAAGACTGAACATTCACATTTTATTAGTATGACTTGCTTTTTGTATTTATCACATATAAACCGCTTATCAGTCATACGTTAAATATATTAATTATTTATTTGCTATAATTATTACAACAGTATGTCACTGAATAATGTATGTATCAATGTTTATACATACATTATATTATATAGCTTCAACATAAAGAAACATGTCATAATAATATTTAATTGTTTATAATAAAATTAAATTGTATTTAGCTTCTAGATGTGTATTATATAAAGCGCTTCAATCGCTTTATGTTATAATTTCAGATAAGTTTTCGTGATAAGTTTAATCTTACTTAATGTAAGTCTCAAACAAATGTTTTATCAGCCAAAGAACGTTCTCCAAATTGGCAGAATGTTGTCGCTTGACGTAATTTATTGTTAGAATTGCATCGTCTGCCAAATTTTTACTTGCGTCATGTTTTATAATGAATAAAAATAGATAATATTATGCTTCTACCATAATATGATTTGGATTTACCAAAAACATTTTGATTAAAAAGGAACTTTCATATTTATATATTAGAATTGATTTTATAAAAGCATTACAAAGATCTTTATAGGTACTCCTTAGTATGAAAACTTCACTCATCAGTCGCAAGAATGTATTTAAACATAATTTCAATGCAATCATAAAGTTATTTCCTACTGAGTATATTTCCTGAATATATAATAACTATATAATTAATACTTGTTCTATGTTTATTAATTTAAAAATAAATAAATAAGATATTTCATTTAAAAACCCCCATTACTTTAAATGTAGGTCATTGACCCGGACAGTTGTAAATCAGCTTGTCTTCAAGTCTCTCTCAGATGCATTATTACTGCAATATCTTGTAAAGAACTTTATTTGATTACTGTTCCTGTGAAACGCCTACATTCGAATAACTTGTACTACAATTAAGATTTCTTTTTTTATTAAATCTTATGTTTAAAGCTAAGAAATAGGGCTGCGATATTATTATAATAGAACGTCTAAATATTCTTTATTATTGAAGTAATAATATATGTGTTGGCAGCCCTATATTCAAGGCAATGCCCTCCAACCAGTAACGAGCTACAATGTGATGATTTAACTGGCTCATACAAGGAGCAAAAATACTCCCTTCCTTTTGATATATTAGCACAATACTCGTAAATGAACATATCTTCCTGTATGAAATAAATTAATATACTCAGATTGTATATAGGTTTTTGTATGGAATCTCTGTACGTGTGTTTAAGAACATAAAATTAGGTAAACCGACCGTGAAGGCTTGACGTGTACGGTGTAAGCCTACCAAAACGCCGCTGCACTATCATAATGAATTAATGACTAATTATACAAAAATCTGACTATTAATATGTCTGTTATTGCGAGTTTTATTTCGCGTTAAATGTTATAAAAATTTTTGTGTACTGAAACTAAAATTTTTGAACGCATTTTACGGTTGTTGCATATTTTTTTATATATTTTTTTCTGTTTAAACGACTCAGTAGCACGTAACGTGGAATTGCTTCACAAATCCGATTGCCTTTTTTTACAAACATTGCGTTGTTTTATCTGTTTTTGGTATTTAAATGTAAACTATTATAAAGTCGCTACGATTGTTAAATTAAAATGACATTTAAAGGTTCCTACTCCAGCTATTATTGGTACCTTTTGTTATAAATTTTAATGATTAAATAATTACAATATAAATCAAATTAATAAAAGTATAATTAATAAAAAGTGTTAGGTGAAGGACAATGTATTTAAACTAATTATCTTAATCAATTGCATATAATGTATTAATTTCTATTGAATATTAACATCCTTCAATGTTAATTTGAATACAATTCTCACTTTAATTAACAGAATTTAGTACACCACACCTAAACTATCGACGCGTACAATTAACGAGGATTTAATAACATTAACATATATATTAAAAATTAATTAAATCTTTAAATAAATAAATACTGCTAATCAATTAAATATTAATTTTAAATCTTATATGTATATGTAATATGATATATATTTGTATGTTACGAGGACAACATTTCAGAAGCTGCCGGAGCCAGCTATAAATAATCGTCTTAGCTCGCGTTATAATTCACAAATGTACCCTTAACGCTGCATTCGGTGAGGCATTTATCAACTACGTTAAACTGGTTCTGTATGGGCTGGTTTATAAGTTGAATAAAAAGAAAAAATAATAAATAAGAAGCAACATTCTGTGAGATTTATTTCGGGGAAAAAGGCGAGGTAAGAGCCAGGTCTTGTCGCATCTTGTTTATAGACGTTGGACGCGATACGTCTCTAATTAATGCCGCTCCAACCAGATATATTGTATACTCGCCCCTCACATATTATTAGTTTTGAATTCCGAGATTAGAACTAGCGATTGGTTTATTTTAGGACCGGCCTAAAGACAATAAACGCGACGGTCCCTTTGATATACATATAGAGTTTTGTTATAAAAAAAATTTAGGTAGGTATGTGAATAATTGTAGAAATATGCAGAATTAAATTTTTCCCCGTTTCGTTGAAACGTTTACAAAAATACGCAGAAACGTCCCAACACGAATACAGCTCAATTATTATTCAAGTCGACAAAATTTTAAGCATTCGCTGTTTTACATCAGATTCCAAATTATATGAAGGAATTTTTAATGTACCTTACTACCTACAGCGTGTTTGAATACTTAAAAGTTTTAAATCATTAATATCATCTGTTATACAATATTGTATGCTTTTGATAGTTTGTTTATAATAAGATACAAAACTCTGAATGTGGGAACAGGTACAATTATGGCAGAATTTTCTCCCCGCGGTTACAATGGCCGGGTGAATAATGGGACTAAGGAGGTGCTTCACCCGTTGTCATGGCAACCGTACGAAGGGTGGCCAACCTGCCCGACGTATAAACATCGAAATGATAATACTGTCATACGGATTTGAACTCTATAACTACTGTAATAGAAATCATTTTCACATATCAAACGCATCCGTTATGATCTTTTACTTTAATTGGGATAATCGGGACGTGTGTATTGTATTTCGGGTTCCATCTTTGATTTTTAAAATTAGAGCTATCTCCGTCTCTTTCTACCTTCTGACATGATGGATTGGTTTTCATTTTGTATAAACTCACGCTTAAAAATAAGCATCGATTTATAACCAAAGCTCGAAAATAGTTGTATTCATTAAAATGTAAATTTGTAAACACACGTTTAATATATTTTTCTGTTCGTAAATGCTGCCATCCTTTGTTCTTTAATTAACTCGTATGAGATTTTTGGATAACAATAAATTTAATTTAAATTTATCGGAACCTTTTATAAGAGATACCTCTTGTGTAATAAATTGTACAGACGAGGAACCTTACAAGAATGTATTTAATGGATATTTATTTTCTATAAATAAAAAAAAAATCTTATCTAGTGGTCATATATATAAATAAAATAATATAAAATTAATTATTGCCTACTTTGCACGATAATGATTGTATACACATAATTGTTTATATGTATATAGTTATAAACATATAGGTACAGTAGATATATTACAGATATTAAAATTGTAGAACAATATAATATAATAATTGTTTTACTGCGGTCTTTTAAAACTTACGTACAAAGCTTAACGAAATTAAATAAAATATATATAAATAAAAACCATAATAATATCTGATTGTACATTCCAAGCCAGGCACTATCAATTATACAAGTAGGGAACGCCATTTATCTTAACTTATTTATTGAGTCAAAACCAGTTGGGGCTTGTTCGGGCTGAGGTATGTTACCGAACTATGTTGCCTCAGGTAAAGATACATAGGTGTATCCTTTAACACACTGCTTTATTGTATATATTTAAATTAAAACACCTATAAGAATTTCAATGCGATTTTTTAACAAAATACTAAAGATTTTTAACTATTTATACTTTCAAATGCAAAGATAATTAAAGTTTATCTCGAGATAGTATAAAGGGTTAAAACTTTCCCAGTTTCTTAGAAGACGTCTTTACCGTTCCAACAAAGCGCCACCTCACAATGACTTAGAAAGTTGCGCAACCCTTGCCTTTCCTTAGCTTTTTTTTTGTAACGATTTCTTTTTAGAAAGCTTCACATTGTAAACTTTTAGACCATTCACTGCCCTTAACCCTTTAACAAAAAAAACTCAACCCTTTTCGAAACAGTCGTATCCCACAGTTGTAAATTAAACAGTTTATTTATTTCATAAAATCCACAGCTAGCCATTAAATCATCCCATTGTAAATCTATTAACGTTGGTATTTGATCTACTTTGAGGTTGGTCCCAGTAGCGGATAACTCTAAAATTAACTTTACAACAGCAATAAAATATTAATGAGCCATTAAAATCTAAGACGCTATAAAAGTGAAATTTAATGACTTGCTCGAAGCCTTTTGCGATGCGAATCGAAGCACGGGCTTGCGGTTGATATATGACAACGATAAATTGATTTTAATGATACTAAAATACTATTGTCCTTACCGCAATATCCGATACACGATACTGAATGTTGTATTAATCATTTTTATTTCCTCTTCAGGGCCCAACGGCTGTCCACGGCGACGGGGCAGACAGACGTACACCAGGTTTCAGACGCTAGAACTAGAAAAGGAATTCCACTTCAATCATTATCTGACGCGTCGGCGTAGGATAGAGATAGCTCACGCGCTGTGTCTCACAGAGAGACAGATTAAGATATGGTTCCAGAATCGACGTATGAAGTTAAAGAAGGAATTGCGCGCTGTGAAGGAGATAAACGAGCAGGCTCGTAGGGAGAGGGAGGAACAGGATAGGATGAAGCAACAGCAACAAGAAAAGCAAGCGAAGCTGGAGAGCCAGCATCATGGCCACCACGTGACTCATCACCACGATCCCATGAAGATGCCTATAGACAAAGGCTCCAGCGACATCCTCAAAGTGAACAAAGTGCCGACGTAAGTCCGCCTAGTAATCCTGACTGAATTGTATCATATAGTGTGAATACATGAATGTGTTTCGTCCAGGGCTGAGTTAGTCTTCGTACGTTTTGTTTCGCTGATTTATTGATGGTGGACGTTGATTGTAATGATGTTCCTTTAGTACGGACTTGCCTCGGTGTTCTGCTAGTTGACGTTCTGGTGAAGTGCTTTAAGCATTTATTTTGTTGCCATAACCACACCATGTATTGCAATAATATTATAATATTTTTTTTTACAAAACCTATCGCTCGTCCCGCTCCCGAGTCCCGAGCGGTTTTCGGTATTGTTAGTTAAGATTTTAAATCTGTGAATCTCATAGTATTTATTGCTACCACTTACTTTAATTCATTATGTTATATATTATTTTTTATACATAGTTATTATATTATGTACATTTTGATGTATATTTTATTATTTTTCCACTGTTAGTGGTCTGGTTATGTTTTGAGGGTCACATTTTTATGTAAAATTTGTTGTATTTTATAAGTTGATTTCGAAAAAATGAGATGAAAGTTTACTTTTTTTATTATTATTTTCCAAGTTGTGATTCCTTGACCGTTGCTAACATTGTTGTTTTGAACAATCTTTTTATGTAATACCCGATCATATATTATAATAACTAATTCAATAAGACGTTAGACGTGTAATATCTTTAACCTACAATATACGTATCAAAGTACAATTGATGTTTCAGCTAGACGTTCGATTGTTTTGTATACAATGTTGACATAAATTTAATGCAGTATTTTTGAAGATTTCTATTAAAGATGACCTAACGAAATGAAAATCGAACATTGTCCATGAATAAACAATCTGACGTTCAAAATTTATATACGTAACATTGATACATATAACAGAACACATGACTAAAATAATTTTTACATGTAATTTTTAAATCGATTAGTCTAAGTGTAATATACATAGATAAAATAGGTTTGAATCTACATTATATAGTATTGCTAAGATTTGAAGCTATAAACCTTAGTTGTTTGTCATACTTTGCGTATATGAACAGATTCCTTTGTAATAAACTTTATGCAATAGTATAAGCATCAAGTGCTACTGGTATTGTCAGGTTGTGCCAAAATATAATTAATTATATTAGCTTTATTGAGTCACGATACATTTTGGCATTTAACAACCGGCACATATAACTCATACGTAATACCGATTAATATTAGTATTCTAAATTTAGTGTTGATAGTCACCATTATACGTAAATTAATGTCAGGGTAGAACTAAGAAGAAAATTAAATAAAAAATTGTATTGACCGGAGAATCTTACTATTGATGTTCAGTAAACAGTCTGTCAATGTTTTTCATAAATCATTAGTATCATGTAACCCATTTAGAAGAACAAATCCACTTAGATGTAAGTCACTTATACAATTTTTCGAACACAATTCCCTCAGTGAACAAAAGCAATATACAGAATATATCATACTTTTCATAGTTTTTTAAAATAATTAATAAAATAATATGTTATAACATTAATTAGAATAGTCGTGTTATACCGCCCAAAGGCGTTCGTGCAATTACTATTCTTTCCATGAGCCATAGGTATCTAATAAAAAATAGAAGTTTTGTGCAAAAAAAAAAAATCACGAATGAATAATATTGAACAATGTACTTAAGTAACTTTGGTATATGTAGGCTTTATAAATTATAATGCATAGAATATAAATTAGGAACTGATGGTGAGCGTGAATGATTCGAAGTATTTCATTATAAACGCTTAATTAACGTAATGTATCGTTATTGTGGTAACGAGTGTCGAACGCGACATACACACAACGAGTAATGTAATGTGTGTATACGATCTATTGACTGTTCCGTTGTAATCATTATTGATATATTATTTTTATTATTATATTATTATTATCGTTACTTCCATGGGTCTGTGCAACCTTCTCCACTCGCCACTATCCGCTGTCAAACGATTCCTAATTAAGTTTCGTTTCTAACAATAGGTAAAGTCGTTTATGAGTAATGTTGTCTGTGTGTATGTATGTGCGTCGGATGATTTATGACAGGTTCTCTTTATTGTTTCTGCCTCGTAAAGAACTGTAGATAATTCACGTGAAACAATGAGCAATTTGCTAAATAGATTATATACGACCTCCATCCGTAATGCTGTCTTGCCATATTGCTAGTGTTTCTTAGACTATAGGTATTATCGTAATACCTAATACCTAGCTGAGTGTAACGTTATTTATAAGATACTTCCATCCCTTTCTTTTTTGTTCTCAAAAATTTTGATGTTGTTCCGTCAGAGTTAAGTTAATAGTTTTAGTTGAAAAAGATTATTTGTTAAGTTGGAGAAACCTATTACTACATTTATGATGATTTTAATATTTTATATTATATTAACAAGACTTCCGTTTTTAGTTATAAATGCTGTATTGTTTTAGTTTCGTCTAAACGTAATTGTAGCTATGTATGTATGTACCTATATCTATATTTTCTATAGTAATTAAAAACAAAAAATTGTCTTTAAAAATTAAGTAACTGTAAATAGTCGTGGAAGTTTTTATGTGGCGCATTATTTTATTTTTTATCATTATGTTATGTATTTATGTATGGGACGATTTATGACGATTTCACTCGGCCGATGACACACAAAACATTATAACAGACATTAAAAGAAATGAAATTATTAAACAATATTTACAATGCAAGTGTTACTTATAAAGTACTGATATTGTTCTGAAGATTGACGGTCGAGTGAAATGTTAAGTTCGTTCTAAAGTGATTGTGTCGTGTTAACGTAAGATAGCTGGGTTGTTGTATATTTAACCCGCATTCAATATTGTAATATTAATTTCGAAAATTCAACAGAATAAAGAGTTAATAAAACAAATTTTAGTGTAATGATGTTTTATACCCGATCCCTTTTGAAACTTTATTATTACTTACAAATTATTGCTGCATTTCATTTGATATGTAGCTTTGAATTATTTATTAAGTTACATGGTATAACGATCTAATTTAAACATTAATTTAATAGATACGTAATAAATAAATCATGAAAAATTCAAAAGATTTAACATTTGATGCCTTAATGCAGTATTTTTTAGGTAAAAAATATATTTTTGACTAATAAAAAGAACATTCATTTAACTAACATAATAGCTTGTGTTAATTCCATGTATTTTCAGTAAATTTCATATAAAAAACATTAATATTACCAAAATTTCTTAGTTATGAGCATTAAATTAGAACAAAAATAGATAAAGATAATTTAATATGAATATTTCTCTTCACACGTAATAATAATCTCTAAAAATTCGAAAGCAGATTTTTTTATGATGTTCTTCAATACATTAATAATAGTTTAATTCCCACCGTAACTAACAAACGTCGTCGGCGACTGTCTTTAACATATCATTGTGCCATAAGTCATTATAAAAAACAGAAAGCCATGCCCCTAATGTTTAATGCCTCTAAATACCAATAACGTTTGTCGGGACCCCGCCGAAAACAAACCATGACTTATATCTATAATATAATGTATTCTGCCATTCCGCCATTTTCCATTCTCTACAGATACTGTCGCTGTCAAATAAATTTCTTACGAACAGAATTCACAATAGGTGGAATCGTTTACAGTTGGTGCTGAAATCGCTTGGCAATACACTTACCCTCCGATAGTATTACTATGCGAAACGTACTACGGCTTCAAGCGATTCTGAACTTAGATTGATAAACAAATTTTTTGTAGCATTTCCTCTTGTATTGCTAACAATTTTTTTTTGTACATAGTTTTTTGGTATACCTATCTCAAATTCCCTTATGGCGTGATGGTTAATCTTTATGGTTATTTAAATACTTAACTGATTCATAAATCAAATTTTAGTAGCGTTTGATTAACTGATGTAATGTCAATGATATTTTCTTTTACGTTTTTCAAATATCAATAATTATTTAATTATATTTATGTAAAGCTATAATCATCGCTCATAACATTTTATGATATCATATTAAACATACATAAAATAATTATGTATACAACTTTAGACCTGATTGAATAAGTATAAGTAATTAGAATAGATACATAAAATTAATCAATCAGTTAATTAAACTTACATCAAAGATAACGCGAGCCGCTAATTCTACACTATTACTACTATGTAGTTGATTTCTTTAACTAATATAATTGTTGATAAGCTCAACTAAGCCCGTTAATTTATGAACGCTATGATAGCTTTAATCCTATTTGCGCTTACTATTAAGCTGCAGTGCGTCGAAATGCCATCGACTCGGCCAATTTCATGCTCTGACGCTCCCTTTGCATCGAACTAACCAATTACGTATCGCATTACATGTAATGATATTAAGAATACAAACAATATTCACATCTAGTCCATTTATAATTTAAAAATACGTAATTGATGACGATTGTTTGCAACTAAATAAATTTTCTTGGATATTGGTAAAGAGTTTTATATGTATGGAGGCAGATGCGTTATCAAATTGATATTAAATAATAAATATGTTTGTGTATATGTAATAGAAGCCAGACGTTATAGAGTATGGCGACTGTGATCCGACTGCAAAATACCGGATACTATAGAAAACTGAGTTCTTTTATTTTATTTCTGTTTTGTTTCCATTCGATCGGTCGGATTGTTTCGTTTCTACATGTAAAGTCCCGATACAGTAGGTATTAGGAATCAAATATAACAAGATCCCTATTAAATGTTTAAACAAACGAAATGTTAAACCGAAGTTATAGAAAAAAATACTCTTTTTAAAAGTATTAATATTATATTTTATTTTAAGCTGTTCATAGTTCATGTTAGGATGGTTAGAATAAGCCACCTGATATTTTAGGTCAGTATCCTTAGTTGTAGTTAAATATTAACAAAATTATGATAGTATTTGATACAATTACTACAATAGGCGAAGCAAATTGTTGCTTCGTCAACGCAAGTACGAACAAATTCAGTGTATTACATTTCCAAATCTTCATAGAAACGA